CAAAGAAACAGAAAGTGTATGTTTGCTGAATAATGCAGTACGAAGCAGAAATTATCACAAAAAGGTGAATTTAGCTGGAAAAAAATGCTTAAGTTAGCTGAAACGTTGATAAAAACACAGAAAAAAGCTSAAATTAGCAGAAAGCAGCCTAAGCCAAAAAAAAATTATAATTAGAAAGAAGGTCAAAAAAGTTTAAATTAGCAGAAGAATAGCAGAAAAGGTCAKGATGATAGCTAAAAAGAAGAAAAAAAGCAGAATCAACTAAAAAGAATACTAAGGAGGATTAAATTAACACAATCTAAAGTAAAGCAGAACCAGAACAAAAGGTAAAAAGTAAAGATCTATTAAAATTTTGAAGGAGTTTAAGAATGTTGAAGATGGCTCCATTCATTTTYAATGAGGAAAAGAAAACTGGCAGAAAAAGCAAAATACGTCAAAACGTATAAATTCCTGAAATACCAAAAGTCATTGCCTAAATGTTCTGAAGGTGCTGAACATTTTCATATACAAAAATTATTGAAACGTTATATAAGCATTCATACAAATATACAAATGTTACAGCAGTTATTACCAAAGCAAGTTTATGCACCAATAATTCTTCAAAACAAAGCCTTTTAGCTTCCACCTTTTATGCCAAAGATATAATATGATAAGATGATGATTAGGTTTGGATGATATCATGATTAGTTGTGGCATTTAGCCTATAATAATTAACAGATGACAATTGTACTTGCATATAACCTGTGTTTTAATTGTTGATAGTTTTTCTGACAACTAATTGCACACGATGCAATTTTGCCCAACCCTAATGGTGATGTAAATTTATGTAAATATATGTGAGATAGTGTTCACAGAAGCAGCAGTAAAATATTCAAGGTTGTGGTTGTCATAGTCCCAGTTGGACTAGCTSTTAGCTCATCAGTCCAGTCAGAATTAAATKGTCTCTTCAAACTGAAATCATTCGTAGAGCTATCTGCAACAGGTAAAAAATTGATTGTTCACAACCTTTCCACAGGATCGCACTTCATAAGACTCAAATTGCCCCTTTAAATTTTTTTTTTCTCATTTCACCCACAGTGGCTCACTTGCTATCTGATCTCCCATTATGAATCATAGACAGTAAGTTGTTTCGCAGCTCAGAGGGCTCCATTTCCACATAGATGGCTTTTTTGGGGAGCTAGAAAATTAGATGTTTCAGTCTTTCCCCCCGTTCTTGCAGATACCGGAGGAGGAAGTTTGGAAGAATCACACCCAATGACCCAACAGAAACCGCCTTGCAGAAGCATTTATCAGATCTCAACACATGAATTATGCACAGGAGGGGGGGAGGGGAGGGGGGGACAACTGTACTGTAACAGAGGCAGTAGGGGGGGGGAAGGTGGGGAGGGGGCGGGTTCAGAGTGATACATAGGTGTAGATGAACACACAGAGGAACATACGCACCCACGCACCCTCATCCATTAAAAGAAGAATGCCATTAAAGGCAGGATCACAGTGAAATCCATTAGGACAAATCTCCGTGAAATGAAATGAAGTATGAGAAAAATGAAAAAGAGAAATGAAATGGAAAAAGAAAAGAAAAAAAGGAGGGAGGGAAGCTATGGTGTACACAGGCCCAGGGGCTACCGTTATCCATGCTATGAACCATTAAGAACAACGGCTCACAATGATAGCTTGCCAGAGCAGAACCAATACAGAGGCCAAGACTGAAGGGATGAGAGAAAGAGAGGACAAAAGATATCAAAAAAATACACTGAAATCAAAAAATAAATAAAAGAAGACACGGAGTACGGAAACAAGTTGGCAAAAAACAGAAAAGCTTTCATTGTGCAACCGTTCCAAAGCACCTGCTGTGTTCCTTTCAGATGAAAGTTTTGAGTCAGACACACACATAAAACTATTATGGGCTAAACTTCATGAAACCTGTTAGAGAGGTCAGCCATGAGCAAAGGAACTGAAAAATGCTCTAACTACTTCCCCTCTTGTTTCTGCTCTGTTTTGGGGTACAATTATTGTTATATAAATGTGTCAAAAATAAGTAATCAAAAATCCATCCATTAAAAATAATCAGTTTGTAATACAGTAGAAAACATGTTTTCTTACAGACACTGTAAAGACAACCTCCTTTTGTAACCATCAGACATGAAATACTGTTTTAGGTCAATTAGGATTCCCACAGTTATTCAATTTGCTAATGACAGTGTTAACATAAAAGCAGTATTTAACTGTACGTAGGCTTTTTTGACGGGATAACCTATTTAATATGTATYCGTAACAGTTTTGGTGAACGTTGCTACAACCTGGGCAAGGCCATAGGCAGCAAAGGCAAACTCTAAGGGCACCGACTATCTAARGGGAATCCACAAATKGGGGGGACGAAAAAAGGTAATTCATAACTTTTTATCAGAGTATAGTTGAAWTAGTCTGTAGACTAATCACTGKTTACTCAAGTTTATGAAGGTAACTTATCGTGCTTTGTTACTACATGAGGTGTTATATGGTGCAGAGGATGTTTCGTGATAAAARTATCATATGATGCTGTCAAAACAGAGTACTGGTGCTCATTGTGTAAATAGAAAACAAAATAAGGATAATGGGAGCTTCAGTTATGATCTCAGATAAAGTTCAGGTTAAAGTCTGGTTTTCAGTGCGCTACCTTCCTAAAATACTGATTATATGTTGTTTTATTAAACACAAGAATTTAATAAAATGCTCTTCAAATGGCTGGAAAATGCAGTTTTGAGTTGATCTTACCAGGAGTAATTTTCTTCTATTGTTAACTACTTTAATTGGACAATCTTAAAAGAAAAATATTAATATGAAAGTTAAAACTATTTAATTTGGTAAGTAAATGTATGTAAATTGGCAGAGAGATTTAGAAAATTGCACAAGAGGCCCCATGTAAAATCTTGCCTTGGGCCGGCTCTGATTTTGCGTGTTACTTATAATTAGGGGTGGTCCGATACCAGCATCAAGTACTCATACTCGTACTCGTAAAAGCCGGCCGATACTCTTAACCGATACCGCTTTTGTCCCCYCCTGTGCTGCGCTGCAGCACAAAGGGTAAACAACAATCCATACCAGGGGGTGGCGCTAATGCACTGACACGTTATTTCCGACCGCACCCCCGAATAACAGAAGAAGAACGATTAGAAGAAGAAGTAACATATCGGCAGTTTGGAGATTAAGATCGGCACGGAGGACACCAAACAAGCAGACTGTCTGCTGTGCTCTGCTAARCTGTCAAGAGGAGGAGCGAAAGTTGGATGTTTTAACAGCAGCAATTTGATTAAACATTTGAGGACAAGACATGACAAAGAATTCAAAGAGTTTGCTGCTGCTAGCAGTAGCCTTCATAAACAGCACTGTATGCAGCAGTTGTTGCAGTAATTTCAATGCTATTTTTTCTTTCTTGTAGAACAAACTAAGACATAAGCAGAATATGGAAGGAACTTTGTTGTAAAAGCATTTTATTTTTCCCTCTGGTTCTTCTGAGATTTTGTTTTAGTTGTTCCTTTTAAGTTTGAACTGAAATTTACTGCACTTTATTACCATTAGTCATTTTTTAACAGTTTAAGACTGAAGCAGAGTAAACTTCTATAGATGTGCTGCTAAAATTTACGTTATAGTTTACATTTTCATTTAAATTTGGTAGTTGCATGTTGAAGAAAATGTATAAAAAATAACTTATTTTGTTTTTTAATGTATGCAACAGCATTTGTTTTGCAGTATTTATATTGTTAATACATTCAGAGGGAGTGTGGCCTTATAAAAATGAGCCCTGTTTGAATTAAATAAATGGTTTCAAAAGTTATGGTGTGATAAATATACCAACTTATGTACTTGTCAGAGTTTGCACTACCTTTTTATTGTCAAACATAATATTTACCCAGCAACTTTTGCATGATAATTGCATTTCATTTTCATTCTGTTTAATATTCAACAAGTTGAACAGATAATCCACACGAACCCTGCTTCTTGGTATCGGTATCGGTGAGTACCTAAACTGAAGTACTCAAACTTGTACTCAGTCTTGAAAAAAATGGTATCGGGACACCCCTACTTATAATAATATAAAATTTTACCAAAATCTTATTTTCATCATAATCTTGTTATGTAGGATTATTTTTGAGCGTTGGAATGAAAGCAGTAAAGGTATGCCAAAAATACAACTTATGAATCTTGAATTTTTTAGCTATATTTATTATATATTACAATGGTAACGATAAAATAAGAGTAGAGGTTTTTTTTTACCTTGACATTTCACAATGACTGAGCCAAAGTCATCTCTCACAGACCTGAGGAGAAAATACATTCACATATTAAAAAAACAAAGAAACAAGGACATGAATACACTTATCCTTACATGACCTGGAATAAAGTGAGTTACGACGGCCACTGATACCCTCCACGCTAACATATCTTAATAGATCCAATAGATGAAAGGAGAGTGAGCAACATTCACACAAACTTTAAAAGGTCACACACTGAAAACTTATCACCTACACAACTCATCTAATGTCACTAAGAAATGTTGGAAAACTCCGAGTATCTGACGGTGACTAAAAGGAACCGAGCTAAGCCCTAAGAATCAAGCAGAGACCCAACTGAGGTCAAACATGGCTCTGACCTCTAAATACAGCAGGAGCATGCCCAGGTTGTACACATCGATCCAATTCAAATTACACAAAAGGTCAAGAGGAGCAAAAACTTCAAAACCAAAATGAATGAGACTCCTGATAGCCTCCGGAGATATTAATACTCTATATATACCCAGTTCAGCTGTATTGATTTTAATATTGATTCGGCTCAATTGATGTGTTGCATTGTGTCAACAGAGCTCATCACTAAAGGGGATTTTTTTTTCTTTTGGTTTCAAGGGGAAATTACACGCACTGGTTGTTTTTTTCTTTATCACACACATAAAAAATGACTCCAGTTAGCATTTGATTTTTCCTTTCAATAACCTGAACAGGTGCAATAAAAGTGTAATGAACTGATTCAAATGTTCTGAGTGATTCTGTTGGGGGGGATTATGTATTTTCCAAGCACACAGTTCAATTCTGTAGCACAGTGAGTAACTATGTTACCTTCAATCGTTGTGAAAATGCTGTATATATCAAAAATTAATTGGACTTTGCCTATATAAATGCCATGAAATTGGCCTCTGTCTCTTTTTAAGAACCTACTACCATTTCAGACACTCCCACTTCAGGACATCTTCACAGCATTTCATGCCGTTTACAACCTTTCACAGGAGCATAGCTTTTTGTTGTAAAAAAATTTAAAAGAAGTAACATTATATAATATTGGTTTTGGAAAAGAGCAACTCAGGATACAGTTGAGCCTAGAATCCACATTGGATGCGGAACGTACATTTTCTGAAGAACAGGAGTGAGTACAGATGCTCTTACAAGATGTTTCAGCTTGGTAATATATCTCCCAGTCATACTCTCATTCATATACGTCAATGTTAAGCTACTTTTTTTTTTCAAAGAAACTAAGCGTCTATATCGTTATAAAGCTATGTTTTTCAATGAACATCCACCTTTTTTAAGATATGTTTTGCTAGTCTGGTGGAAATCTGTGAGGCAGGAGCTTGGCTGGGAACTGAGCTCCAGGGAGGAGCTTTGGGTAAATAGGCGGTGCTTTGTATCAAATGGCTACCACAGGAGATTCAAAGATTTCTCAAATATGCATGAATGAGTCAAAGCAACACTCTGGGTATGTTTTTGATGAGGGCATGACATTATAACATGATATAAAGCTCAAAAATGTTGACTCGGCATAATACCCCCCACCCACACAACACCCTCTAAAACTGTGCTCTGCTTTAACACAGTGGTTCCGTTTGGCTCAGATGTGAGCTGAAACTGGAAGTGTTCTTACAAGAAATGTGATAAATCACCTCATTAATTAAAAAGGCCCCATCAGTTTCACACACTGCCTCAAAAGCCAGGACAGTTCCGTAATTACCTAATTTCCACATATTGGTCTTGAACCACTGCCAGCAGTTTGCCGTTACTGTGGAGGAAAACAAAGAGAACAGTCAGGAATAAGGAGGAGGAAGAAAAAACAAATGACAGCAGGAGGACAGGGAGGTTAATGCAAAGGGGTGCACAGATGTCATTATCACCCCATCCCAAAAGTGATCATTTTTATGCTTGTTTCTGTCTACAAATGTTCAGCTTTTGAAGTCGGACCAATTTAGGATTGCCGCCACAGCTAATCGGCATTAACAAACACAAAAATTACTACAACAGTCAAATTTACCGRTACGAAGTTAAAGTTTCACATGGAAGTAAGTGAGAGTCGTCCTTAACAATCTGAGCACAATCTTGCCTTGCAAGATCTTACATAACTGAATGAATCAACATGTTATTTTCTAGGTTTGACTCGAAAAGTTATAACTCTGTCCCTTTCATCAGAATACGAGCTTAGTTTAAAACTCTGGCACAAAAGGTGGCGGGCGACATGAATTACTTTAAAAGTTTACATTAAATGTTRCATGAAATGAAAACGAGATGAAAAAAAAACTGATTGATGATGGAAAAATTGCAAAAAGATGACGGATTCCCTGGAAAACACAAAGAACAAAAACGTCTTTAAAGCAAGACAACAGAGCAAAGGGAGGCTCTGAGGAAATTACCAGAAGGAGAAAGATGTAAGAGCAGATCGAATTAACAGCTGCATCCAGCATCATTTGATCCTGCTTTGGTTGAATTAACACCAGAAGATAGAAATATGGCTTTTCTGCTTGGTTTGTCAGTTAAAACAAAGATAAATGATTGGATGAGACTCAACAAGGGGAAAGAGGAAGAGGGTTTGTATATGTCAGCAACAAAGCAGCCAAGTTCAGGTCTTAATTAAACAGAACGCGCGCGTGTGTGTTTGTTTGTTTGTTTGTTTGTTTGTKTKTGTTGTACCTTGAAAGAACCAACTGCCAGCTGATCTGCTTGTTTGCCAGCCGAACGAGACCAAGAGGCAGAGACGAGCTGGAGGGGCTGAGGCACACGAGAACACATTTTAAAAATAGACACGTTAAAAATAATAATAAACTGAAAGCTGAAGCAGACGGAACACAGATTTAAAGAAAAGGGACAAAACTAATGTTCTGTCACTTTTTGATTATTTGGATCATATCAAAAGGAGTTTTAACAAGTTGTTAGGGTTTATAAAGCCTAAAAATAACAATAAAATTGAACAATAAATGCTTGAGTAACACATTTAGTTTTATTATAAAGCTTTATATATAAAAAATATATATTTAAAGTACACACTGGTTCATGGCCCACTTCAACATAATCAATTGAATCAATGAACAAAGCTTTATTTGTCATTTAGCTCAAGTACAACACAATTGCTTCACAAAATTGCTCCAATTAATCACTTCAGGATAATTCTGTTTATTTATATAGTGCCRATTCACAACAAGTCATATCAGGGCAATGTACAAAAGCCAGCAGATTGCATTGAATCATCACTTCATCTCAGTCTCGCATCCTGAGCAGCACATTGGTGAAAGTGGGAAAGAAAAACTCCCTTTTAACATTCTAGAGTATCCATTAGTTTTATAATTTATTGCTTCTCAGATTAGGTTTCCCTAAATGTTTCTGGCAGGGTTAAGAAAGAAAGCAATGCTGTATGACATATACAGCTACTATTGATTATAGTATCAGCAGGGTACTAAACATTTGTTTATTTTTTATTTTTTACTTTACAAACAAAAACACATTTAGAAATAAAAAGTCACATGCAAGTTCACCCAGATATCTATATATGTGTTAGCAAAACAAAGAAACTTACCTATACCACAAATTGTGAAGGAGTAATCGGAATGGACCTGTGGAAAATTAATAAAGTAAGAGTAATTATGGCTATTTGGAGTCATATTCATTCATTATCTAAGAAAACAACCACTTTTCAGGTCGTAAAACTCCTACAAGTTTCCCAAACCTCTTGTTTTTTTATTGCTGGACACTAACTTAGATTTATTTTTGTTGCTGACTGTATTTGAATTGAAGCCACTTTCACATAACCTGTAATTAAAATAAAATCTTATTTTGCTCGATAAACTGTCTGCAAAGATAAGTATTGAGCTAGACTTCATTTTACAAGATGTTGACAAACTCTCAACACAAAACAAGAAAGTTCAGTCATTCTAGCTAATAAACTGTCGTTCCTGCAGAACTGCTGTTCAATGCATTTTATACAAGGTGCTGTTGTGAATGTGACATATCTGGTGTACACAAGTACTGAAATAATACAAAAAAAACATCAAAAACGACAGCATTAGTTTATTTAAATTGTAACATTAGCTTAGTTTAATATGTACCATAGATCTTTTTACAGATGTGTATAATCGGGCACTTTGTGCACAAATCTGCATATTCAGCTATTTTGGTCCTTTCCAGCTGCTTTTTTGTTGGCTTCTATATACAAACATTTACCAAATAATTTTGTTTGCATTTTACAAAATGTCCAGATATTACCAGATGTGGGAATGACTTCAGAAACATAAGTAGATTTGAGGACTGTCTAGAAGAAGCGGAAACAGGCAGGAATAGAATGCTGCATTCACACGGTACAAGTTGGATGTAGGGCTGCCACGATTAGTCGATGACTAATCGATTATTAAAATAATAGATGACTAATTTAATAATCGATTAATC